CTATATTACTAATAGGAATTTTATAATGATTTACGATTCATTGGCCAATCATATTCAATCTGATGATCAAAATCGATAACCAATCAAAACCAATTTCCATCATGCTAATAAGCAACTTAATAAAAAGGGATTTATTGATTAAGTAAATTAACACAAATAAGAAATTAATGATAAAAAGTATATTGGCTAAATTGACTTGAGTAAAAGACAAATTAGGCAGATAACAAATTAACAAGAGGTGCATACATTGTGTTCAGATCTTTGATATAATTATTGTTATACTTGCCAGTTAAATTAATCCAAATAAAAAACTTAATAAAAAGAGATCCATATTATTTCACTGACAATTACTTCATAGACACAACATTTCATGACAATTATTCATCAACAAGTTTATTTTACTGACAGTCTATCTACTAAAGCTTCTTTACTAACAGAACTTTTTGAAATGAGCTTCAGTGAAATAGGCTGTTAGTAAAATAAGCTTGCTAATGGTGAAATGTGGTGTCTATGAGATAACTGTCAGTGAATTGATCAGATCTTAATAAAAGTGGCCTATCGGGAAGTTAATAAGAAACATGAATTATAATACAGTAATATGCTATTATCTATCAATTTTCCAAAAATTTACAGAGCAGAAAATACCAAAATATTTATATAATTTAATTCTCTATATTTATATTTTTTATCTAAATATTCAAGAGGTGTTAATGGCTTATTTACCCATTTATAATTTTTGTTTTTAAAAGCTAAATATACAAGCCACATCAAGCCAATAAACAGCTTCAGTATTAAATATAAATAAAAAGAAAGCCTCAATAATAAATCATTGTTTTTTTGATAAATTTATGGGGTTTATTTTTATCAACAGCTGAAAAATAGATTTTCATTAATTTTTTTAGCGGGAGCACAAGAATTTAAGAGTTTCGGTAATAACAGATTTTTTTTTAGTAATTTTCACTTTTTTTTTTTTTTTTTTTTTTAGCAGGAGTACTAGGGTTTTGTTAAGTTAAATTTGGGTTTCGACTTTTGTCAGAAGGATTTGAGGGTTTTGACTTTTGTCAGAAAAATTTGAGGTTTCGACTTTCGACAGAGATTTTGTCATTTAGGGCTCAGGTTTCGACTTTCGTCATTAATCAAAAATGGTTTCGTCTAACTATAGTTAGGTGTATTTAATTAATTCAAGCGATATATAATTCAGAAATCGATAGTCTTATATTAAAAAAAGCAAAAAAAAATTTTAGTAAATATTAAACTAGTTAGGTATTATGTTACCTATTATGAAAAATTCTATCCAACTCAACACTTCCAAAAAGCCAGTTAACTTGGTCCTTCCTTTTTCGCTATTTTATCTGTAAGGTTTCGAACCTTTTTCTTTAACATTCCGATTTCAGCGTGAATTCTCTTTATAGAGATTAAATAATAGGTGTATTTTTCTTTTTCAAGCAACTTGAACCTAAATAAAGAGAGTTTTTCTTTTTCAAGCAACTCGAACCTAAATAAAGAAATAGTTAATCTACTCACTTGCCAAAGAACCAGTAAAGGCTGAAACCTTATCAAGCCAGCACGAAGCTGCTAATAGCGAACTAGACACCCTTATCAAGCCATATATCACTAATAGTCAACTAGACACTTTTGAAAGCCAGTACAGACGAACGAAGATCCCATAATAAGCCAAGGTTGCTCTATTAAGGAAAGTGCATAACCAATTCTTCTCTTGAACCAGTTCTGCAGTTGACCTTAAGTACCGGTATGTGGTCCGTTCCCGAAATGTTCACAAAACATAAAAACAAACTGACCAATCAGCATATTAGATCAGATTATCACTACTGTGCTAGAAAATCACCGTCCTTGAGGTAGATAACGTTAATAACTCTTTCGCATAAATGGTATATCTGATATGACTTCATGACTTCAATTTTATCAACGTCATTTGTGCTTAATATTTATAATCCATGATCCTCTTTGAATATTCCACAGGACTTTGAAAAATTACAGCCAACGCGTTTTTTATACGATGACTCAGATTCCGAATTTGAAGAGGAATTAGACAGTAAAACCGTTGACATTCTCGGTCCTCCGGTTTTACGTTTATCTCACTTTAAAAAAAATACTAAATTTCTGACTAACACATTACTAATTGGAATAAATGGTGGAGGAAGTTTATTTCTTGAGTCAATTTCGAGTAATAAAAGGTTAATTGGAACTATATTATTACCAGAGATTGAATTGGTAGGTGTTTTTCATTATTTTTTCCAAATCTCAATATTTATACTTATTTATGACCAATATTACAAGATTCACAACACATTGAATCAAGAAAATGGTTCGAATCAAGGATGTTTTATCTATGAAATGGATTTCAGTCAAAAGACTTTGTTAATTCCATGTAACTATAAGGTTGATGATGAAAGATGCTTTGTTTGGGCTAAGACACTATTCAATCATATTGAAGCTGAACGGTAGTTATTTATTTTTAGAACTCTTTAATATGTGTTATTTTATATAATTATAATGTAGAATTTTAATGATTAATCGTTTTAAAATGTTATCCTACACAACAGTGTAATCATTTTTGATACTTTCAAATTATCTTCTTATATATTTAATCATCGTGACGAAGATAATATTTATCCATGTTGTCGCGTTCTGAGCTCGAGTTCCGCTTTAAAAATGGTAAATATAAATATTTATATATATGCCTCAATTATCAATAATTGTAATAATTGTAGCAATTTATTATAACATTCAATTGTTAAACTATTAGGATAAATCGATTCCAATATACCAGTCACCAAATCTTGTGTGTAATTTATCAGCTGCAATACTGAGTCATGTAAGTAGTGTAGCAATTTAATATCATAAATTTAAGGTTTTTTTTTTCTTAATTATTTTAATTAAATGCTTTTTTTAATACAGTGTGAACTTTATAATATTTCGGCATATCTACTTTTGAACCCTCAAATTGAAAAAATAGACATGCTACAAATTTGCCAAGAATATCAAAAAATTTTAAATCAATTGAATTTAAATATTGAATTGAAATTTAATTATTCTTTTGATAAAAAACAAAATATTCAAAGTGATTTTAAAAGATTATATGTATAAGTTGTTGATAATAACTAAAAAATATATACTTAATCAAGATATATTAAAATCAGCAAGTAACTCTTCATATTATGTTAATTCATGGTAAATGCTGAAATGTAGATATTTATTGAAAACGGTTAATACATTATTATTTTAAATTTGATAAATTTCAGTAATGAGATAAAATTACTATGTATATCTTACAGCGCTGCACATAGTACCCCCTTTAAATAGTATCGGGGTACTCATTTCTAAAACTTTGACAAGTATCCGCCGATATTAATCAAGTGGTCAAATTAATGATCTTGTTATATGATCAACCATACGATTAATATTCTCTTCAGTGTACTCCCCCTCTTCACACAGTACCCCCGAGGGTATTATTTAATTAATCTATATGCAGCGCTGTACGGTAGTTGGCTGGTATTACTGCTTAATGCCGGCCTAGCTCTGAATTTTTGGTCGATCTGCTGACTTAAATTAGTTTGATAACCAATGATAACCAATGCGCAAACCCAGATGTGGGTAATGATGACTCTCCAACCCGAAGGATGATTTCTTAACATTTTAAAGCGTTAGATGACTTGGCTAAACCAAAAATTATAAATTTTAGCGTAACCGAAAACCAGCATCACATGACTATATATGGGGGTGAGTCAATAGAAATCAAGCAAATTTTTTATAATAAAATTTTTTTATAACTTTAAACAAGAATAA